TCTTTTTTCACACAACGTCCAGTCGGGGCGAGTCGAGAACGTCACAATAAACAACACACAAACACGGCGCACAACGCGCCACGCACGTGAGGACAGAGGCGTTTGAAGTCTGCTGGACTCCCGTTCTTCGCGTTTACCCTCCGCGTTTGTTTGCGGTGCGCTTTTGTTTTTGCGTTGTTCATGTCCGCACGGATCAAGCTGCGTGCCGACAACTTCGGCCGTCGGCAGGACTTACAATTGCATCCGTTCCCCGTGTGTTGTACATACTGTTACGGGAATAGTTTGGAAATGCAGCGTTGCTCTTTTTGTTCTTCTAACACGTTCAATGTTTGGATGATGAACGGGGCAGCTGGAAGCTCATTGCGTGGGGAGGGAGAGCAGAACAGGAATTCGTAAATCTGAGTGTTCACAGATATTCTTCCACAGCAGGTGTTTTATTTTTTTATAGCATGTAGAATTGGACATATATAGTTAAACATTTTGTAAACTTTGTATGTACTTGAAATTAACAAGAGGTATTTCTGTATACAAAGGTGCTGTTTGTCACGGTAGTTTTGGGTTGGATATTGAAATAAAAATTTGATTGTTAAAGTCCCATTTACGTCTTCAAACGTTGACTATAGATAGCCTCCACTTTCTCAGCTCAGAAATGAGGGTGAAATTAAAGTGTTTCCTTGTCCATTCGCCAAATGGCTCTGCTCTTTTCTGCAGTTCCGGTGTGAGCAGCTGTTCCCGTTCAAAGTGATCTCCTGCACAAATGAGCATTGAGGCAGTAGAGCTCGTGCCCTCGAGGCGCCGCGGTGGCTTGGAGATGTTGACTACCTCGCCTGGTATGCAGGAGGTCGTGGGTTTAACCCCGACCCTGACGCATGCTGCTGTATATTTGGAGTTTGCATGTTCTTCCCGTGCTCGCGTGGATGTTTTTCCCCTCCACATTTTAAATCAACATCACGCATGTAGATAATTTGGCTGCTATGAGTGTACACGTGATAATCCACTTCGTCGAGTTATCATTTTTGGCCAGGTCACGACTGAAAAATAGCGATAGCTCTGTGGGCACTTACATGGCAAAATAAAAAAAAATGTTCATAGTTTAATTTCGATTTAAAGCTTTCGTGACTGCAAGGATTCACCTTCTTTGGTTCTTTCGGTAAAGTCACGTAGAATGAGAATAAAATAATAAAATAAAACAAAAAAATTCTCACGACGTTTCGGCCACAACACAAGTGGCCTTCAGGTGAAAGGAACAAACCTGTCGGGACGACAGGTTTGTAGACTTTCACGACCAATCTGTTTAACACGTAGACTTTCACGTAGGCTTTCACGACCAACCTGTTTAACACGTAGACTTTGACGGCCAACCTGTTTAACACGTAGACTTTGACGGCCAATCTGTTTAACACGTAGACTTTCACCACGTAGGCTTTCACGACCAACCTGTTTAACACGTAGACTTTGACGGCCAATCTGTTTAACACGTAGACTTTGACGGCCAATCTGTTTAACACGTAGACTTTCACGGCCAATCTGTTTAACACGTAGACTTTCACGGCCAATCTGTTTAACACGTAGACTTTCACGGCCAATCTGTTTAACACGTAGCCTTTGACGGCCAATCTGTTTAACACGTAGACTTTGACGGCCAATCTGTTTAACACGTAGACTTTGACGGCCAATCTGTTTAACACGTAGACTTTGACGGCCAATCTGTTTAACACGTAGACTTTCACGACCAACCTGTTTAACAAGTAGACTTTGACGGCCAATCTGTTTAACACAGACTTTCACGGCCAATCTGTTTAACACGTAGACTTTCACGGCAAATCTGTTTAACACGTAGGCTTTCACGACCAACCTGTTTAACACGTAGGCTTTCACGACCAACCTGTTTAACACGTAGACTTTGACGGCCAATCTGTTTAACACGTAGACTTTCACCACGTAGGCTTTCACGACCAACCTGTTTAACACGTAGACTTTGACGGCCAATCTGTTTAACACGTAGACTTTGACGGCCAATCTGTTTAACACGTAGACTTTCACGGCCAATCTGTTTAACACGTAGACTTTCACGGCCAATCTGTTTAACACGTAGACTTTCACGGCCAATCTGTTTAACACGTAGCCTTTGACGGCCAATCTGTTTAACACGTAGACTTTGACGGCCAATCTGTTTAACACGTAGACTTTGACGGCCAATCTGTTTAACACGTAGACTTTGACGGCCAATCTGTTTAACACGTAGACTTTCACGACCAACCTGTTTAACAAGTAGACTTTGACGGCCAATCTGTTTAACACAGACTTTCACGGCCAATCTGTTTAACACGTAGACTTTCACGGCAAATCTGTTTAACACGTAGGCTTTCACGACCAACCTGTTTAACACGTAGGCTTTCACGACCAACCTGTTTAACACGTAGACTTTCACGACCAACCTGTTTAACACGTAGACTTTCACGGCCAATCTGTTTAACACGTAGACTTTGACGGCCAATCTGTTTAACACGTAGACTTTGACGGCCAATCTGTTTAACACGTAGACTTTGACGGCCAATCTGTTTAACACATAGACTTTCACGGCCAATCTGTTTAACACGTAGACTTTGACGGCCAATCTGTTTAACACGTAGACTTTGACGGCCAATCTGTTTAACACGTAGACTTTCACGACCAACCTGTTTAACAAGTAGACTTTGACGGCCAATCTGTTTAACACAGACTTTCACGGCCAATCTGTTTAACACGTAGACTTTCACGGCCAATCTGTTTAACACGTAGACTCTGACGGCCAATCTGTTTAACACGTAGGCTTTGACGGCCAATCTGTTTAACACAGACTTTCACGGCCAATCTGTTTAACACGTAGACTTTCACGGCCAATCTGTTTAACACGTAGACTTTGACGGCCAATCTGTTTAACACGTAGACTTTCACGGCCAATCTGTTTAACACAGACTTTCACGACCAACCTGTTTAACACGTAGACTTTCACGGCCAATCTGTTTAACACGTAGGCTTTCACGGCCAATCTGTTTAACACGTAGACTTTCACGGCCAATCTGTTTAACACGTAGACTTTCACGGCCAATCTGTTTAACACGTAGACTTTCACGGCCAATCTGTTTAACACGTAGCCTTTCACGGCCAATCTGTTTAACACGTAGACTTTCACGGCCAATCTGTTTAACACGTAGACTTTCACGGCCAATCTGTTTAACACGTAGACTTTGACGGCCAATATTATCCTAAGAGGTTTTTGGGTTCGATCGCGTAAATATAAACGGGTCGTTAAACCCGCCACAGCCAATTAGTAAGGTTTGTCATGTAAACAGAACATGAAAATTGGTTAGTTGTATAGCACACCGGTGTGTTGGGAGAGTAGATCCACCTCCAGCGCTGTCCTACCAGACAGTCTCGCTCCCTTCACCTGATGAAGGCCGCTTGTGTTGTGGCCGAAACGTCGTGAGAATATTATTGTTATTTTATCAATTTATTATTTTATTCTCATTCTACGTGACTTTACCGAAAGAACCAAAGAAGATAGATCCACAACATTTACTATTTGAGTACGTTTCGCCAGTAATTACAACTAGCATCATCAGACGACAGCCAGATTTGAGTTTAGTTTTCTATTTACAGTTCCAAGCCAGCGGTGTAAATGTCACATTCTTATGGTGGGTGGGGGCGAGCCTCCCCAAAGGGCAACCACTGTTGACTTCCTCAAGAGTGGTTCTTATTTATCGACCCCGGAGGGGATGATGGGCCAAGTCAACCCCCAACCAGGACTTGAACTCGCAACCTTCTGACCGTGATCCGCTCGCTCTCCAGCTGAGCCGGTTCACTTTAACCAGATTGCTGCTTAGACTTTATTGCTAACTAGTTCATAACGCCTGTCTTTACCAGGCAATCGTTTTCAACCACATGGGTGTCAAGGGAACGGATTTCTCCAGAGATCACGAAAAAAGGCTGTTTAAATTTGGAAGGCATTTATATTTTGTAGGTTAAATGTAAACAATTCACACCAATGCTGAAACCTGACCATCATTAAATGACAGTACTGTATAAACATACTGCAGCTTATTTTTAATTTAGTGTTTCTTATACACATTTCATAATGTGAAACTAATGACGTTATTTTTGTTGAGATCGATAAAGTCACTTAAATTTAGATTTGTGGTGAGGCATATGCAGTAATAAACAGTAAAATACACCTCGATATAATTAAGAGCTGAATATCACTCCTACATGGGTTATAAATATAACAGACACTTGGCAGTCTGTAAACAGACTCATTTATCAGGGATATTTTAAGGGTGGAGCGGGGACTTAACAATGCCATTTAGGATATAAATGGATTGTTTAATTGCACAGAATGGGGGTGAAGATGCAGACTGTCATCCGATTTTATTGCTTCTTAAATCTGTTCACTTGCAGACACATTGGGGACGAGTGAGAAGTGGGTAATGATTCAACCGTTGTATATCAAGGTATTATTTTTGTTCAAAAGCATGGCTACTCCAAGCCGGATAATCCACCCATGGATAATTGAGAGGTAACTATTTTGGACTTGATTTGAAGCTTTCGTGACTGCAGGGATTACTCTTTGTTTTTTTACGGTAAAGTCACGTATAAATAAGAAATAATAAAATAACATAATAGCGTACGACGTTTCGGTTGCAACACAAGCAGCCATCATCAGGTACAGAAGAGCTAAATTATGAGGGGAGACACACAACCTCGGATGTCTGTATATACATCAGGTACAGAAGAGCTAAATTATGAGAGAGGGGAAACACATAACCTCAGATGTCTGTATATACATCTGAGGTTATGGGTCTCCCCTCTCTCATAATTTAGCTCTTCTGTACCTGATGGCTGCTTGTGTTGCAACCGAAACGTCGTACGCTTTATGTTATTTTTTTATTTCTTATTTATACGTGACTTTACCGAAAAAACCAAAGAGGTAACTATTTTGACAACGCAAATGCATCCAGAGGTCTGGGAACAATGATGTATTTTATTGGCCTAAAAAAAACAAGTTATTTTTTACTTGAGTGAACGACCCACGTGTCTGGCTACTTGCATAAACTCCATAAAGTGGTGTCGCTTTGCTTACACGGCTTTCATTTTCTCCTGAAGAATATTACTCCAGCTGTTTTATGCAAATAACCAGCGAAGTTTTCATAGTTTAGGCTGTAGACATAAACAGCTTTATATTTGTTATTCAAGACAGCTGGAGACACGTGGACAGACTAAATTAAGACACTGCACTGACCTCGTGTAGACACCAACTAAACGTGTCTCTGCATCACCCGCAAATAAGCAGCAAGACCCCGAAACCAGCCACCACCCATAAGCACACGACATCGTGCAAGGCAAGACAACCGGCATGCACAGTCCGCCACTGCCTAAAGACCTCTGTGTGGCAAGGTGCCTTCCATTCTGCTTTTAGTGCTGCAAACTGCTTCTGCAATTATATAAAATATCGTATTCTCAGGTATAAATTGTTGAAGCTGTATGGAAACTCTGGGTTCTCACCAACATTTTTTAATCCAGCTTTGCTTTTTTTTTTACTCTTGTAAAGGTGTTGTACTTGGACGGAATCGCAAAACAAGAGGCAGCTTTGTGCAGCGAGGTATTCTATCAAGGCGTTTCACCTCGATGATCTAGACGAACAAACGTAGCTTTTATTTACCAAACTAAACAAGCCTTCGAGGTGTAGCGTGTTTGGATGGAAATAGATCAGTAGGCAGCAAATGTTGAGAAGAGAAATATCTGCGAATGGCACGGCCTCCATTACTCGTAAACCCAGGCCTCCGTGTTGCTATACCAAGTGACCAGCTCCTCCGGCTGGAACCACAGGGAGATCTCCTTCTGGGCACTCTCCTCCGAGTCGCTTCCATGGATCACGTTTCTGTAAAAACAAATACGCCACAATCGGTCTTCCCAGAACCTCTCGTCCTGCCAAGCCAGCCTATCGCGGCCGACCCGGTGACAAACCAAATAACGTTGATGAAATTACAATTTAAACCAGACGAGAACTTGTCAAATGTTTCTCAACTGTGACCTGGGTCACACAAACTAAACAGTACATATGTGAAACAAGGCTGAACAAGCATCGTCAAAATATTACTGTGGATGAGACTAATTACGATACAATAATACATTTTTTTAAAAATACTAGTGGTCACAGGAGGTAATGACGGGTGTCAGCTGTAAGTGCGAAGAGACTGGTGACTATGAGGGATCGTGAATGGGAGCGAGGTCAGGTGACGTAAGAGGATGGTAGAGAGCCTGCTGGTGGAGCGATCTTCCAGTCAGCGAGAAGGTTCGGGAAGGGGGGCGTGGCATCGGTCCGTATATAAGGGAGATGCGCGGGAGACACGGAATGTTGCAGGGGATCTCCGCCTGTTCGAGTGAACGTGTCTTCAATAAAGAAACCATCTCAAGAAAAGTGTGCCAAGTCGTCTTTACACAGTGTTACATTTCAGTGATGTATATTTGAAATTAGGTGAGATACAAGGGAGGTGGAGCATACAGCGGTGCGAGCGCTGTGCCTTGAACCAGGTAACCCGAGTTCGATTCCCAACCACGGCTAACATCGGTGGCAAATTATATCAGAACTCCTCCTGCCTTCACAACGTACTGACCAACGTTGCTAAGCATTGCTAGATTATAACACCTCATGATCAACATGGTGTAGGGAGGCCTTGACCCATTGGTGGATACAGAATATATGGCATAAAAAAATAAAGATCAGGATTAAGCGCCGATTAACAATAGACGATGGCCGATGTGTCAAAGGGAAGTCCCACCGCCCGATGTCGATGCAGAAGTCCCCGCGGATGGTGCCGGGCGCCGAGTCCGCTGGGTCGGTCTCCCCAAGCATCCGTCGGCAGGTGCGCACGACGCCATTCCCCTCCCACACCTACACAACCACCACACGTCACCTCCACAGCGCCACAACTGCACTCTGTGCCTATGGCCCAGTGTTCATTTCATGAAATTAGTGACGAAAACATTCGGCAGGTGTTTTATATATTTTTAGTCGATGATGACTTCAGTGGATGACGTGACGGTGACTAGAGTGACTACGACCACCCACCAAACACCAAAGCACGGTTGATAATGGCGAGGGGATATTTACAAGCATAAATTAAGACCCAGATTAAGATAACTCAATTTTATTGGAGACTGCAGTGCACTGAGAAATACCAAAATTATGTGTATAAAAATTGTGTATTTAAAATAGCATGATTAAATTCACCGATTGGCTGACCTGATAATATCAGTGGGGGAGAAACATTTCGGCAATTTTCTACGATTCATAAAACACCTCCATTGTGACCACAAAGCAGAGTGAGTGCGGTGAGGAGAGCCGAGAATGAAGATCAGATTCACCATCGCGAGCACAGGACCCGAGTTCATGAACTGCACGAGACTGCTGTAGAACGCCTTGTCCTTGAGGTCGATGTAATGCTGCTGCAGAAGTGCGACGGGCGGCTGCACAAAGCACAGCATGCAACGTGAACTTTGGTTTTCTGAGTATTTTGAACCGTACAGCAGAAACGACGTGCATTGCTACATTGTCGTGGCGTTACTCTGAGCGCAAGCGCATTGAAACACAACTCTCAAAAGGCACACTGCCCAGTGGCGGAGCTACCGAGTGCCCCGTCAGCGCAACCGCGCCAGGACCCACGGACACAGAGGGGCCACGGGCGCCGGAGGCTTACGAAGTGGGGCGGGATTTGACAGCGTGGGCCATTTGATTTCTTGAACCTGGTCCCATGCCAATCACGCCAGGCGTACCGATACTAGGTGTCCACTAGAAACATCGGAAGAATAAATGTGGAGGATGTAAGGTATTCATTACCCTGTTATCACGAACCACTTGCAAAACTGGCAGAAAGGTCACAGTATCGGGGTGTTTAGTCTACTGCAACAGGTTTTAACAAACACATGAGAACATTAATGCATGGCCAGGTACATATAAATTTGTATCTGTACACGCCTTAGCCAAATGCTAATTAAAGCATAAAAACACAGGTACATGTGTACAGTATTAATAATACGGTACAGTGTACTGTATAGCACTGTAAATAACGCTGATTGGACATTTGTCAGCGTGTACAATCATTATACGCAGGGTTGCTAATGTAATCGCTGCAGCTACGTTCGTTACCAACGGGATACGCATGGTTTGTTATAATGAGGTGCATAACAATGTATACTACTGATGCATTCATTTCTCAGTAATAATGATGATTTCGTGTTGCTCAGGCCACCTTGAGGAACTTCATGGCGACCAACTTGAGGCCCTTGCCCTCGAAGCGCTTGACGATGTCTCCCATGAGCCTTCGCTGCACGCCATCGGGCTTGATGGCGAGGAGTGTGCGTTCATGCCGCGGCTCTCGTCCTGCGGGCACATCACCGCCAGCCGCGGTTCAAGGGCACGACCGACGGGGGCCAAGGCCCAAAGCCACAAAGCCAGGAATCCAGATTGACGCCAATGTCCACTCGAGGCAGAGTTTAGTGGATTTGCAGTTTTCTGGTCTCTCTCCCCGTGGTTGCGTGGATTTTTCTCTGGGTCCTCCAGTTTCCCACCCCCCTCACCGCCACATTTAGAATCAACATCATGCGTTTAGAGTATTTGGCTGCTTTAAATTTCCACGTGCAAAGCCACTTGGTTGAACTTTCATTTGTGATAGCCAGGTCGCTCAGAGGGCCTTACCTGGTAAAATAAAAATAGTAGTTTTGTAGTAGTGTCGAGGCTGAACACGAACCAAATAAATTATAACTACTTAACATCTTCACAATTAGATTTTGGGGAAACAAGTAAATACTCTCCGATTCTTTCGGTAAAGTCACGTAGATAGAAAAAATAATAAAAGAACACGACCGAAACGTCGTGTTCTTTTTTCTACCTACGTGACTTTACCGAAAGAACCACAGAGTATGGATTCCTGCCGGCACGAAAGCTTCAAATAATTTTTTTTTTAAAATTTGCTTAATATGAGCATTCGGTCAATATTTAGAAACGTTATGAAGGTTATCATTGTGAGAAATTGCATGCGACCAATTTGGAGCACCAAAGTCCTTGAAATTGTAGGGAGGAGGATACCAAGGGCAAGGTGAAGACCGAGATCGCGAATAGTCCATGGCGGTGATTCTGCGGTCATCAATTCTATCCGGGTAGTATAAAAAAATAATAACACAAACATAAAAATCACCTAAATAAGTGATTTGTTCATTCAACTGTTAAATAGGTTCTAGCAGATTTAACACTCGTAATACAGGGTGCTTCAAAAAAATGTTAACACTTCCGATAATTTGTAACAATACTCTTTGGTTCTATTGAGTAAAGCACCATAGGTAAAAAATAAAATAACAAAAATCATGACGTTTCGGCCACAACACAAGCGGCCTTCATCAGGTGAAGGGACGAGACTGTCTGGAGGACAGCGCTGGAGTAAAAAAAGCCACGCTCAGTTCATGACCTTTAAGCTGTGTGAGAAGAAACAAAGCGCCTTGACAAAGGAATTAGCATATAATTTAGCATTGAAATGGGTCATTGAAATAGCTAAGTTAAAGTATACACATCCGCAGAGGCACCCCTTGACAAAGGAATTAGCATAGAATTTAGCATTGAAATAGCTGAGTGATTAGCTTGTAACTGGTCACAGAAATAGCTATGTTAAAGTCAGAGCATATACATTCACCGAGGCACCTAGTACAAATCAAACAGGATAATTTAGCGAAACAACCACGCTCAGACCGCGGACCTTTAAACTGTGTGCGAGCAAACAAGGTGTCCTGACAAATAAATTAGCATAAAAATTAGCATTTGATTGGCCGATTTTAGAAAAGAGGTGGTGTACGTGCCGGTGGACTTGCCGTTTGGCGCGGGGGGGGGGCGAGTTTACCTATTGATGGTGTGAAAAGGGAATTTATAAGAGCTGCGAAAGTTTGGGGTACCACTACTTGAAAAATATACTGTACCATAGAAATTAGTTTAATGTTTAGTTCGATTTAGAACATCTTTCCAATGGTTGCTTAATTTGAAACCATCTTCTCGGTTGAAATTGTGTCTGTGTTTGTAGATCTGAATTGCCTCGTGAACAAATCTCTGATAAAAACCCGTGGGTTTGCAAAGAACCTTGGTATCGGAGAAAATTAAATCGTGATCACCCACAGCGTTGTAACAGTGATCAGCCACGGCAGAAGAATTCGTTTTGCCGTGTTTCAAATCTGATTTGTGCTCGCGAATTCGGTCAGAGACATGTCGCTTTATCTCCCCGATATAGCAATCACCGCAGGTACAACTCAATTTGTAAACCCCGGGGTACTGTAAGTCAGGAATGACATCCTTCACGGATGGGATCAGATCACGAATTTTGTGTACTGTATTGAACCGGACCTGGATCTTGTGTTTGTTTAGAATTTTGGAAATCTTTTTAGTAACGCCTGCTATATATGGTAGTGTGATAGTTTTGACCTAAGTATCAAGTGGTTGTTTCTGTATGGAGGGAGAAACAGCTTGGCGGATGGTACGGTCAGAGTAACCATTCCTTTTGAGGGTCAGGTGTACATGTTTTAATTCACTGGTCAGGTGGTGTTGGTCCGAAATGCAATGAGCCCTATGGTATAAAGTTTTGATGAGAGAATTCTTTTGGGCTGGGTGGTGGTGGGAATCAGGTTTCAAGTAGGAATCTGTGTGGGTGGGTTTCCTGTAGACAGAATGCCCCAATGAGCCATCAGGTCTCCTCTCAAACAGAACATCTAAGAATGGTAGCTTGCCATCTTTCTCCACTTCCATGGTGAATTTGATGGCGGGATGTCTGGAATTGATGTGGTGTAGGAAAAGGTTCAGAGCTGGGAGGCCATGTGGCCAAATGACGAAAGTGTCATCCACATAGCTCTTCCACAGGGAAGGTCTGAGGGTGGAAGTCTGGATGGCGTCTGATTCAAATTTCTCCATGAAAATATTGGCTATCACTGGTGATAAGGGGGATCCTATGGGGGTACCCTCATTTTGTTTGTAGAAGGAGCCATTCCAAGTAAGTAGGTATTGTTGAGGCAGTGCCTAACCAGTGCAGGTGTGTCGGGGTCTAGTCCATGTTGGACCAAATTTTTAATTATTTCAATGGTATCAGGTACTGGGACCTTGGTGAACAAAGAGACCACATCGAAGCTGACAAGGATATCGTCAGGGGACAGTACGTCTTTGACCATAGAGACCAATTGGGCTGAGTTAAGTACTGCTGAGGCGGTCTTGCCAGTGAAAGGCAGCAAGGTATTTGACAGAAAACGGGCTAGTGTATAGGTAGGGGAGTTGATCGTGGATACGATGGGTCGGAGTGGGGTGCCTTCTTTATGAATCTTGTGAAGACCATAGAATCTAGGGGGTCTTTCAGCAGAAGGTTTTAGGGAGGGACGTTTAGTTGGGTCGATTAGGGAGGTCGAACTTGTGATGATCTTGTTGGTTTTTATCGCTAGGCTATTAGTAGGGTCATTTTTTTATTTTTGAGTAACTTCCATCGTTGAGCAGATTCTGGATTTTGTTGTTGTATGAATCTTTATCCATGATAACTGTAGCGTTGCCTTTATCGGATGACTATATCACTTGTTTTTTTAATTCGCGAGTTCAGAGCGTTCATTTTTGCTGATGTAACTTAGCTATTTCAATGAGCCATTTCAATGCTAAATTATATGCTAATTCCTTTGTCAAGGCGCTTTGTTTCTTCTCACACAGCTTAAAGGTCGTGATCTGAGTGTGACTTTTTTCACTCCAGCGCTGTCCTCCAGACAGTCTCGTCCCTTCACCTGATGAAGGCCGCTTGTGTTGTGGCCGAAACGTCATGATTTTTGTTATTTTATTTTTTACCTACGTGACTTTACCCAATAGAACCAAAGAGTATGGATCCTAGCAGTCACGAAAGCTTTAAATCTAGAAGTAACAATGCCACAATAAATGTGCTGGCTCTGGAGACCACCTGGAGAAGATTCCAGGCACGTGTTGACAACGATGGCGAACAAGTGGAGACTCTTTGAAGCTATTAACATACATTTGTTATCATGTTACAGTGTATTATCCGTTCTTATTGCATTAAAAATGATAGCCCCATGTAAGTGTTAACATTATTTTGAAGCACCCTTTTTCTGAAGCACACTCTAGACATTGTCGGGAGATCTAAAATGAATACATTGTGTATTCGAGTAAGTGCTCCTCTCTACACAAGAACGACGGACATCCATTCCTCTTGTTTTAGCCACGAGTTCCCCAACCCATGCTGCCCGTGTTGAGGAGGATCGCTGGCACGAGGTGGCCCGCCGCTTTAGCCACTCGTGGTGGCCACTGCGCACCTGGGGCACCCGGGGCACCTGGCACCTTGCTTTGAGACAAAGGCCCTAAAGAAGGCTGCCGTCTCTGGTGTAAACAGATCCGTTTCAAAGACAACGACGTATAGTCATAATTCGGGTTTTTTTTTGGGGGGGGGGGTTATGTCGCGTAAATAGGACAAATGATCAGCACGAGACTAAAAGAACACCAAAGGCAATATTAGAATACTGCCAAATGCATATATAATTATTACCAGAGCTTTTTTGTTTGCATGTTCACCTAAAGTTTGGTTCATGCGGACGTGATTCATTGCTAAAGGGTTTCTACTTGGGTGTTTGAGCATCTTAACACCAGTTTTATTGCCAAGGCTCAATCCTATTCTTATTTTTTTCATACACATTGGCCTACTCTTCCTCTCCTGACATGATCTTTGAACGTGCGCATAATCACTTTAAGATGTTTTCTTGTTCATGTTTTTGTTTGTTGCGGTTGCACCCGATTCAAGAGCCGAATGGCTCACAGGACTACACCAAATAAATGGAACTATGAACTATGAAATGGAACTATGAGAAGCTGACACGGCGCGTAAGGGCACGGTCGTTAACAGCGAAACAGGAATTGACATTTAGCAAGACATTTTCTTAATCCCGTATATTCAATCTCGCTCTCCTTCTCTCGTGGCCTTTCACCTTAATCTTACAAGGCGCCTTACAAATAAACGTGAATTATTATTTCCTAAATGAACCACTTGAGAAGAACCAAGCTTTTTGTATCACTTATCCCACTGCTAATGGACCTCACTGTTCGCTGCACCCACACGGTGTCCGGCAAGACGCCCCCGCGTGCCGAGTTATTTTGACCATACTTCACCACTCTGGCACAGCCGGGGGTTAACGTCGATTATAATTGTGTCCCTGGGTATTTAATCGCAGTGTGCCTAAAGTACAAATGTCAATTCAGATAATAACAACCCTGCTGATCGTGCAATCATTATATACACTGCACGGCAGTTGACAGCGCAGGCCCACCCAGTGCGGTGTGCGTTGGAAGAAACAACAACAGCACCACCAACAACAACAGCCTTGCTGCATTGTTAATTAGTACACGAAATGCATCGACGAGGAGAGCGATCGCTGGCGACGAGGAGGACCTTTAAAGAAGTGCGCCAGGAGCGCGAGTAGCAGCGTCCACATGGCGCCTGTCGCCCTTCACGACCTCTCGCGCGACCCGGAAGTTGTCCCAGCGGCCACAGCGGCAGCAACTTCCCGTTTTAAAATAAACTTATACATATAAACTTATAAAATAAAACAAAAACTACAAATGTTTATTTGATCGATGGCGATGTATGAAGTTTGTGTTATTTTGTAAATTAAATAAGCAAAGAAAAAAAGATAATTTTTAGTCGTTAAGTCTGCGGGGGGGTTGAGGGGCGGCGTGAGACTCCTCCCGGCCACGCGCGCTCGCTCGCTCACCACGCCGGGCATCGCTCGCTCTACTCACACTTTAACAATACAACTCACACTTTAACAATACAACTTACGCGACATTCGTCTTCATTCAACAACGCGAGCAGGACGCGACTCGTAAGTTTATTTGAGGAAATGTTCTGCCTTTGATTTTTTGTCGTAATGTTTTTTTTTTACCTCAGAATCGGAGACCGAAGCCTGCGTTAGGCCGCGCGTGAAGTTTAAGAATACGCTTTTTTTAACGTGTAACGCACGCGTTTAGCATAGCTTAATCAAATATAATATTATGGTTGTGTCTTTAGTCCTGGGCAACGTTGTACAATGTGCATTTTGTTATTGTTTGAGCTCACTGCATTGTGATTATCGGTTTGAATAACCGATTAACGCGTTAATTTGTCAAACGTTTCTTGAACGGTATAAGTGGCTTTTACCACATACACATGTTATAATTGATATGGAATATAACCTAATATAGTGGTGGTATATCTTGATATATATTGTAATCGCCCACTGAGGTGGTAGCTAGCGCGTGTCTGCGTCACGTGCGGTGGTTGCTTTTGTAACTTCGTATCCCGAAAAGGCCATCAACTTAATCGTTATGTACTTAGATTGTTAATGTTGTGGATTTGCGCTCCAACACACCGGTGTGCTGTACTCGTAACGAATTGGCACGTTCTGTTTACTTGACAAACCTTACTAATTGGCGGTGGCGGGTTTAACGACACATTTACGCGATCTAACCCAAAACAAACTATATTAGGGATGAATCGTTATGCCCTGGTTTGACTTTGCGTTTTTTTAATCCCTGTAATGAGTGTGTGAATTACTGAAATGGTGGCTGTGTGCATGCTTGATCGTAATGCTGTCGTACCATTTATTGTGTGTACTGGCCGAGTGTGTGCTGACAAAGAGCGACTGTTTTATATCTCAGTCGGGGACCCTACCTGGTCAAATATAATCAAGTTGAGATTCGTGTGAATCGCCACCTTTAATAGAAATAGCGATGCTGCTGCGGCGGCGTTTGCACACGCAGTCAACAAACAACTCGACAACAAACTCGTCAAGAACACTGCCGTAAAGGGGAACGTAACAGGTGACGTTTCGGGGTATGGCCCTTCTTCAAAGCACAATACATGGAGGCCCCACGGTGTAAAGTGCAGTCTCCAACTTAATATCCACCCTGCTCTCTTTATGTGCTATAAATGAGTGCCCTTTGCCCAAAACGTTGGCTATTATATAATTGTGCTTTTCGGGCAGGGTTATTGACATGTATTTTGAGTTTTTGTTTTGTTTATTAACAATATTAATGGATTAATAATAATATTGTTACGCAATGTATTTGTCCAGGAAAGCCTCAACTGAGTCTGTGGTCTTTTTCTTCAGGACGGTGCTGCCACATTGGAATGTTGCATCCCTGTTGAAGTTTTAACATTTAGGGTGTTAAAGTATTATCAACCCTGCAGTGTTACCTTGTACAAATTCATCGGGCGGCCATGACATAGTCATCATTAAACAAACATTTAGTTAATATTAAGTTCTTAAACAGAATTAGTAATGATACGGTCTGCATTCTGCTCGAGCGCTCACCCCATGTGTATTTGAGGAATGCTGCCGTCGCCGTGTTAAATATTGTACCATTATCTTTTGGACTACAGTGTACTGGACTGCATATTAATTTAGAAGGGGGTGTGGGGCGGCTGAGCCTGCAGCAGCGAGGGGGGAGGGGTCGGCCCTTTCCAGCTTCTAAGATGTCACGACAGGCATGGGTATGATAAGTGAAACATACCTGGAAGTTTATGCAGTTTTTTTTCTCGGAGATTTGACATGCCCCTTTGGTGTCCCTCTCAGCCATCATGCCGAAGGTTAAGTCCAAGGACCTGGGCCTTGAGACGGTGAAGTTGGATCCAGCAGGGTCAGTGCGGCTCCTGGAAGAGAAGGTCCGGCAGAGGCACAGGAACAGGCTCGTGCTGGGCCAGCGGAAGGAGGAAGAGCGCAGGCTGGAGCATCTGGTGCTGGGAGGGGAGGACGATTTCATACACAAGCTGGTGTCCACGCAGCCTCTTAAGGTGCCTTCATGCATTTTGAGAGCAGGAGATGTGGCTGTGGCACTCCCTTCTGTGCTGCACCTAGAAGTCTCGTCACCAAGCCTCCGTGTAGCTTCTGCGCGAATGCTTGTTGTGGTGTCTTATAATTATGAAGCTGTGCGTCTTACTTTCCGGAGCATCTTACAATCTGGAGAGTACGGTAGTCGTAGTGCACGTGATCCGAGGTTTCTGGTTTAAGTGACTGGCACCTACATTAAATAATTTACAACTGATTTAAATGCTTGCGCGATGCAGCTCTCAAGCGCTGCATCCGACTCCAGCGATGACGAAGAGGTGGCTGATGAGAAGCATCAGGTGGAGAAGCAGCCTGTCTGGGAGGACGAGGACGACGCTGATAATGCCAATGAGTTGTGAGTCTTCGTCAGTTGATGCAGAACTGTACAACGTCACACATCTGAATAGCCGCCCACACTCAATGTGATGTTTGTGGACAGTGTAATTGTTATATTCTACAGGTAGATGTTCACATATTCGACGTTTCCTATTTTATCCTCAGTTTTTAATTCTTAACATTTTCTGCATCATTACTTTTGTGTTTTTTTTTAACTTAAAGGTATGTCGTCTTGCCGTCTTGAAAAAACCCCCTGTGTTTTCTGCTTCACAGGGTGGACATGAAGCACCAGTACCGCAGGGAGTTTGTGCGCCACGTTGACGAGAAGACGCTGCCCAGGGCCAAGCTGCAGCAGCGACTCAAAGCCGAGTGGGTGCACGTCACGTGTACACCACACGTTCGTCGCGTGTGTCGCGAGCCCCGTCGTGCGTGCGTTTTGCGTGAGCACGTGTGGCGCATGGTGCTCGCGTTCGTACCGTGTGGGCGTCGCGCTAGATGGTGGAGCGATGAGACCAGCTCATGTGCAGAAGCCTCATGGAACTAACGTCACGGGGCTGTGAGGGATATAGACAGTGTCGGGAGATCTTTATCTCATAGTGAATAGACGATGCCTGATTGAGATGATAAAATACGATGAAAATTATTAGCGTTTAGGATCCCACAGGTTTTCGCCATCTGCAGCAGCTGAGCAACAACTGTGAGCACGGCGTCTCTGCTGCGTGTGCCGGTTTGCGGTACGCTCAGGTTCGAGAAGGCCATGGGCGGCGTTCCCGAGTGGGCTGACCTGTCCCGCATCAAAAAGGAACGCCAGGCGAAGCACAACAGCGACGATGAGCAGGAAGAAGATGACGGTGAGGACGATCTTCTCACCAGGACCGGGAACTACCTCGCATCCTCGGAGAGCCTGCCCAAGGGCATTCTACGGGTGAGGGGCAACGCGCCGTGTTAGGGGGCAGCGTGACGTAGCAGCTCCTACGATATCTTTCGGGTTGTACTGCATGTTGTTTGGCACGATGTCCGCTGTTTCGCTTCACTTGCTGGCAGTTCTTCTAAGGAACTAAATAAAATAATTTCCTGAAGAAGCAGCGCCGGAAGTCACGCCGAGCATCACGCGGTAGAGCTAGAAAACACTTTGAAGAGCCACACAGCACAATCGTGAAAATCCACGTACAGTGAGGGGAAAAAAGTATTTGATCCCCTGCTGATTTTGTACGTTTGCTCACTGACAAAAATGATCGGTCTATAATTTTAATGGTAGGTTTATTTGAACAGTGAGAGACAGAATAACAACAAAAAAATCCAGAAAAACGCATGTCAAAAATGTTATAAATTGATTTGCATTTTAATGAGGGAAATAAGTATTTGACCCCCTCAATCAGAAAGATTTCTGGCTCCCAGGTGTCTTTTATATAGGTAACGAGCTGAGATTAGGAGCACACTCTTAAAGGGAGTGCTCCTAATCTCAGCTTGTTACCTCTATAAAAGACACCTGTCCACAGAAGCAATCAATCAATCAGATTCCAAACTCTCCACCTTGGCCAAGACCAAAGAGCTCTCCAAGGATGTCAGGGACAAGATTGTAGACCTACACAAGGCTGGAATGGGCTACAAGACCATTGCCAAGCAGCTTGGTGAGAAGGTGACAACAGTTGGTGTGATTATTCGCAAATGGAAGAAACACAAAATAACTGTCAATCTCCCTCGGCCTGGGGCTCCATGCAAGATCTCACCTCGTGGAGTTGCAATGATCATGAGAACGGTGAGGAATCAGCCCAGAACTACACGGGAGGATCTTATCAATGATCTCAAGGCAGCTGGGACCATAGTCACCAAGAAAACAATTGGTAACACACTACGCCGTGAAGGACTGAAATCCTGCAGCGCCCGCAAGGTCCCCCTGCTCAAGAAAGCACATATACATGCCCGTTTGAAGTTTGCCAATGAACATCTGAATGATTCAGAGGACAACTGGGTGAAAGTGTTGTGGTCAGATGAGACCAAAATGGAGCTCTTTGGCATCAACTCAACTCGCCGTGTTTGGAGGAAGAGGAATGCTGCCTATGACCCCAAGAACACCATCCCCACCGTCAAACATGGAGGTGGAAACATTATGCTTTGGGGATGTTTTTTCTGCTAAAGGGACAGGACAACTTCACCGCATCAAAGGGACGATGGACGGGGCCATGTACCGTCAAATCTTGGGTGAGCACCCCCTTCCCTCAGCCAGGGCATTGAAAATGGGTCGTGGATGGGTATTCCAGCATGACAATGACCCAAAACACACGGCCAAGGCAACAAAGGAGTGGCTCAAGAAGCACATTAAGGTCCTTGAGTGGCCTAGCCAGTCTCCAGATCTTAATCCCATAGAAAATCTGTGGAGGGAGCTGAAGGTTCGAGTTGCCAAACGTCAGCCTCGAAACCTTAATGACTTGGAGAAGATCTGCAAAGAGGAGTGGGACAAAATCCCTCCTGAGATGTGTGCAAACCTGGTGGCCAACTACAAGAAACGTCTGACCTCTGTGATTGCCAACAAGGGTTTTGCCACCAAGTACTAAGTCATGTTTTGCAGAGGGGTCAAATACTTATTTCCCTCATTAAAATGCAAATCGATTTATAACAATTTTGACATGCGTTTTTATGGATTTTTGTTGTTATTCTGTCTCTCACTGTTCAAATAAACCTACCATTAAAATTATAGACTGATAATTTCTTCGTCAGTGGGCAAACGTACAAAATCGGCAGGGGATCAAATACTTTTTTGCCTTTTGAAACATGTTGGTTCATCCGTTCACCCAATCGATGAGATTTATGAGCGTATCTTTGTCGCTCATGTATTGATAAATACCCACGAAAGAGAAGTTGTGCCGATGAGTTTTTGCCTGGTTTAAGTCAAGGAACCGATTTTGAGTGTTCGATTGTCGACTATTTCGCCCTTTGGTCTCCCACTAGATGAAGAACTGCATCGCAGCAAACCAGCAGCGCACGTCGGACGCTCGCCTCACCTCTGTGCAGTTCCACCCCAGTGCCGCCGTGATCCTCACCGCCGGACTGGACAGGTCGCTCTCCCTCTTCCAGGTGCCGCATCAACTCCCACGGTTACCATTCATGTGAACTTCACTTTCTGATTCCTCCACCCACCTTTATAGGGATATTGGGATGACTCTTCCACACCTGCCAACCCATTTATACTGCTGGGTGGTCAGGTGCAGTGGGGGGGGGGGGATTTGATAAACTTGCACCATTGTTTTAGCTGCCGCGCCGGAAGGACAAATCAGATCTGTGACCTCTGCGTTACCAGCCCAGTGTGTGCTAACCATTACTCTAGTGCATGAATCTCAATGTTATCATAAACTGAAACCATATTGGCAAAGTATGAATCATTGGTTTTTAAGGCTTAACTTTTAAAACAAGTCATTGGATATACAGTACAGGTCGTCCCCGACTTGCGATGGAGATGCATTACGACGACTCCATCGTAAGTCGAAAATATCGAAAGTCGAAAATGGCCTAGCCTACCCAGGAGTCTTAAAGAATGGTGATAATTTAGCAAAACAGAGCAATTAACAGTAGTGTACTGTATAAACGATATACTGTATGTATTTATTAATTACAATACTGTCTTGCACAGTAAAATTTTAAGTAAAAAACAAGGTAAATTCTTAGCCTACCTATATGAACTGCAATTTCATAAAGTTTTTTCAGGAAACAATCCTATCTGCTATAAAAAAAAAACTTTTAACATTCATTAAACGTATGTATCGTATCGTGGTAACCCTAAAATGAAATCGCTAAAGCTACGTATCATACATGCATTGAACGTATCGTAACGTATCATTCTACTGTACTCGCCAAGATTCTGTCCGTCGTCTGCATACTTGAACGATGTTAGGTTGTTGATGGCTACATGAACTTAGTTGTTGGAAGAGGAGGATGGCGATGATAAAGTTACAGTATCGTACCTCGTACGCTGCTGCGTTTGACTGCCGCGTGAAATTAAAAATATTTTACAATTTTGTCATATTGCTATTGCCATCGTAAGATCGAAATATCGTAAGTCGGACCATCGTAAGTCGGGGACTACCTGTAGTCACATGTGGAGTTGTCACATGTCATGCTTGAACACGATTTGCTTCAGGTGGATGGTCATACCAACCCGAAAATCCAGAGTGTGTTCCTGGACCGGTTCCCGGTGTACCGCGCGAGGTTCTCTGCCGACGGGGAGAAGGTGATCGCGACCGGAATCCGCAGCAAGCCCTTCTACGTGTACGACATGATCGCCGGGAAGATCACGCCCATCCTCGCCATCCGGGGTGAGCACGCCTCTCCCGCCGCATCTCTCTGTATCTGTCGTTCGGCTACGTGAACTAATCACCTCTCGATTGGCTAGTCTATGAGTAGAACAACTTGTGTATAGTCCTCAGTGGCAGACATGCTGTCACGTGATGAGTTTGCGGCTCATCTGAATGTGCGGTCGGTTGTCAGGACATGTAGCCAGATGGGTTATTTATATGGTTGTTTATCTACATCAGTTGTTCCCAGCCTGTGGCCTGTCGACCATTGGTGCTCTTCAAGGCCGTGGGAAGTGGTCTGCTAAACTGTTACAGGGCCTGCGGTTTTAGAGTGGTTTTACTTGGTGCATAGTGGTCCACGGGACATTTGTTGCGGGTTGGAAACCACTGGGGTATATCGCTAATCTCGAGAGGTTAGCCAGATGGGTTGGGGGCATACGGTTTACTGATGAAGACTGGTTGTACGAGTGAGGATGTGAGCGGTCGTACTTGGACACTCACCTGTGCGCTCTGTCCAACTCTGCAGGCTTGGAGGAGAAATGCATAAAGCGTTTTGAACTCTCTCCCGACGGACGGTTCATGATGGTGTTGGGGACATCGGGAGTTCAGCACCTAATCAGTCTGAAGGTAATGAGTACTCCGTGTTTGTGTTTTCATTGACCCACGGCACTTTGAAAGCTGTACGTAATGGGATTCTTTTGCGTTCAATCTTATTATATTTTTTCCAATAAGTACCTTGGGTTTATGGAATTATATTTTACACATATATTCTGAAGAATATGTAAGGCAATGTATGGTTGTGCGTATGCATTCGTTTGCATTTGTGGATGTTCACCCATGCGTGCGTGTCACAGGCCAACGAGCTGGTGGGAAGCATGAAGGTGAACGGGCAGGCCAACGCCGCCACCTTTTCCGCCGACGGAAAGAGGGTTTACACCACAACAGGTGAGGCCCCGTGGTGCTGCAGGGCCACGTGCTCGCGCGACGCGTTTAATCGTAATTATAGTGGAAGTTGAACTAACCGTGCCACCTGGGGCTGCTTGCAGACGAGGGCCAGGTGTACGTGTGGGACGTGGACAGTAGGCGTTGCGTCAACCGCTTCACGGACGACGGCTGCGTCAACGGCTCGAGCATCGCCGCCTCTCCCGACGGCCGCTACCTCGCCTGCGGGTGGGAACCTTCTCCTTGCGCTCGCGAATGCAACGTGACGCTCGAGAGCCCACGGCTGTTGTCGACCGACCGAGTGCCTGGCCCAATTCCTTTATTCGACATCGATTCCTCTTTTTCGCTGTGCAACAGAGCCGCACCGCTGATGTTGCACACAATGAACGAGTCGAGATAACTGCAGATGACGCGGTCACTCCTTGTCCGCTGCGTGTGATCTTGATATACAGCTCGTTGGCAGCACCCCTGGCCCTGCTGGATCCCGAGCGAGATTCAGATGTTTTTACGAGGCCAGCGAATCGCTGTTCGGTTGTGGCACGGCAAATAGCCGGTGTAAAACCCACCCTTTCCGTGAGGGTCCTCCGGGAGCTTGGCTGGGTGTGCCAGTGGAAAAGGGGTATTCGTCTGGATGCACACATAAACTCTGTACCCAGCTACGATTGTACGTGGAGAGCGGCGCAATACTGAGCCGAGTTTCTACAACGCGTCTTTCCGTGCGCGCAGGTCCGTGAGCGGCGTGGTGAACCTGTACACGTGCGACGAGTGCCACTCCAAGCCCAACCCCGCACCCATCAAGGCCCTCATGAACCTCGTCACCCCGACAACGAGCCTGGCCTTCAACTCCACCTCCGAGATCCTCGCCATGGCGTCCAACGAGGCCAACGAGGCCGCGAGACTGGTACGTGCCGCTGTCCATCGGCAGCTCCCGATAACCCACCGGGGGGGGGAGGGGGTGGGTGTGCGGGAGTATTAACCAGAGTGGCCGTTGGGCTAGAACCTCATACGTTTGCAACAAGTGGCAAATGCACTTTTCGGTCAGCCGTGTCGGGGGTCTCCACGAGACAGACCTTGCCTTAAAAACGAGCACCCGATGTGCTGTCAGTGTGATTTAAAGGAGAGACTCGTGTAGGCTGGCTCATTTTCCCTGCATGTGCTGCACCAGACGTATGTACGTAGCCAACCGTGCTAATCGGAGGCGCAGGGGAAGGACAACAAACTAAAACAAAAAGTAGTTCTAAGAACAACATATAGTAATAGGTATTTACCCTTTTAGCTGGCACAAAAACTGACACCTTTATACAAGGGATCATGCTTGCAATAACCACAACACAAGCAGTCAAAATGCAAACAAAAAAGACAACTCTGCTAATGATATGCACTGTCCTTGAATTTGATTGGTCCACACCCGAGACGGCTTTTCTCAGAGCCTAGTCTCCACTGGTGTTGGACCAGATGATGCCAAAAGGCGTACAACTCAAAAACAGCGCACTATTAGAGTATTGAGAGCTCGGGATAAGCCTTTGAGTTGTACGCCTTTTGGCGTCATCTGGTCCAACACCAGTGGAGACTAGGCTCTAAGAAAAGCCGTCTCAGGTGTGGACCAATCAAATTCAAGGACAGTGCATATCATTATCAGTTGTCTCTTTATGTTTGCATTTTTGACTGCTTGTGTTGTGGTTTTTGCAAACATGATCCCTTGTATAAAGGTGTCAGTTTTTGTGCCAGCTAAAAGGGTAAAAACCTATTACTAGTTCTAAGAAATTGGTTTTCAGTCTAGATTTAAGAGTGCATAGCGCCAGTGGCTTCCTAATATTGGAAGAGCATTCCAGACGGCCCCAGAAGCGCATCTGAAAGTGTGCGATGCGGTGGCAGTCTTTTGTGCGAAGGCTATGCTTCTTGACGAGCTCAGCATGGTATTGTGGTTAATTTGTGGCAAGCACTTTGTGTGTAATGAGTGCAACCTTACATTATAATGTATTCGTTTGGCAGCTGGAAGCCAATGTAACTGTGACCGGGCTAAGGGACGTTTGTGCGTCTCCATTGTGCTCAGGTCCACGTCCCGTCCCAGTCGGTGTTCTCCAACTTCCCCGTATTTCGCCGCAAGACGATTTACCTTGCGCAGATGATGGCCTTCTCGCCACACAGCGGCTTCCTCTCGATCGCAAATAACAAGGGCATGGCGCTGCTGTACAGGTGAGGGCTCGAAGCCATGCAAAAACCCGTGCGTGAGCGGAATGTATTCGCGAGCGTGCAGGAGTAAGCAGGTGGACGCTGTCTCTGTGTCTTGAAATGGAAATCCACAAGGTGACCCGTTCACCTCAGCTGCCAATGACTGCCCAGGAAAACCCATCGCATTACATTAGTTTCTGCACTTAATTTCGTTCGATTCCGGCTCTGGAATTATCGGTTTGGCTGTCATGTGACAGACATTTAAATTGTAGCAGGATGGATGGTAAAGTGCTGCTGTGGTGTGGCTAAAAGATTCACCTGAAGGTATTTCAGAAGCAGTTCTGTGACATCTCCTTCAGTGGACCATTCTGTAACATGGAGTTATGCGCTGCTTTGCAAGAGTTCTGAATGTTGAGACCGATAGAAACATTGGGATGGAATCTGGTGGAAAAACTAACATTGCAATGCTTCTTTAAAAGCAGTAAATGCATAGTGGTGTAATGACATGTTTTAACGAATAATTTATTTTGTCTTGTCTAGGTTAAAACATTATTCAGACTTCTAAGAAGACCTGCTGCACATGTCCCAGGTTTGTCCTCAGTCTCAGGTCATATGGATCGATTGAATGCAGTGCTTTCCTGTGGAGGATTACTGAAGGGAACTCCCTGCTCCAAAGTTAACTTTAACAATAAACTCCTTCACCATTTTACAAATATAGTCAATGGCCTTTCTGTAGCCGAAATAAATTACATTTGCCTCAGAAAACGATATTTCAGTCTGTTTTGCAAAAAAAAAAACGCTTTGCGTTTGGAGCATGAGCAATTATTGTCCTGAATATTCACCTGATGTACTGTCAGTGCGCAGTTTTCATGACGTCATTTTCATATTTTGAATTCCCATGTGTTTTTGTTAAGGTATTGGAGATGACACTGATTCTCACTCAAGCTATGTTAAAAACTTGTTTTGTTTTTCCCTCCTAAGATGAACGAAGACTGAGAGATGGGGGGAATGTTTTATGCGCTCATGGGAGTCTTGTATAAAAAGGACCTCAATAAACCTTTGTTTGCAGGAGCTTGATGTTTGTGAATTGTTAAAGACTCATATTTTTTTTTTATTCCTTTTCAAACGTTTTTATATTGTACATACAATGCAACATCAAATCTACTTTACAGTTGTAACCCAACCTTGCACTAAAACGAAAACCTATTTTTCTGTTATGCGTACATCCTGAATATATGAAACAGGCATCTGTGATTGATAGTGCATGCCGATAATTGTTCAGGCAGGTAGCTCCGTCACTTGTAATTTGTTCTCTCCGTGGCTTAAGCGTGCCCCCAGCGGTCCCGAGAATGCTTTGGTTGCCCTAATAAAGGTTGCGCGAGATTGCTTCTACGCGATCCTCAAGAGTTTTCAATAATGTTGTATTATGTACCGAGCGTGTCATTCATCAAATCAGACAGGCCCGGGGCGGTGAGAGAAAGGGCGAGGCGGGAGTTCGACTTGCTCTCTCGCCACGTACCCCCCCCCCCCCGTTCAGCAGCCTCGGTGTGCACCCAGGAGGAGCAAGTTTTTTTTTAAATTTAAAACCTTACCATGTATTTTGCAAAACAATTGAGCGTCATTGTGGAGAATAACAAAAAATACGCATATCTGCCCCTCTACGTAAAATGTTAGCTTTTGCAAATCCCATTGGCCATGGTGTGGGAGTGCATGATTTCAAGTTTGCTTGTGTTAAATTCATGCTGCTGAAATTGTACACTCCCAGACTGCTGTGAGATTGAATGTGTAAACACGAATATTCTGTGGAGGGACAGATATTGTGAAGGAGGGGAATGGCTGTACTGTCGAATAAATATATACAGAGCTGTTTATTGCAAACTTTCCAATTAAATATTACATTTTATTTGGCAGTGATGTTTTTTCTCACAATTGTCAATTTGGTGGTATTCAAGCAAAGACCATTTATTATGTGCATTTATATTACATAATTCACTCATGTTTAATAAATTAACACATAGGAAGCTTCAAAAGGCTTGTGTCACATGCTTGTGTCACATGCTTTACCCAAACGAAGTAAAAGTAAAACAAATGAAAATCGCAAGGGAAAGTTCTGCTGCCATTTTATTTATCGGTGTAAAGGCAAGTTACAGCTCACAACAGCAACGTTACATTTCAATGTATGTATACCATTGGCATCTCACTTTTTGGGTTTATTTTGTATTCAAAATATTTCTGCTGCTCTTGCTCTAATTTTTTAGGCATGCATATACATCTATGTACACCACTGCCTGACAGAAGCCAGATTTGAAACTAAATTAGTGAACCCTAAACACCTGCTGGAGCGCTGAAAATTGATTGTATAATTGAGTCATTTACCTTTATCTGAGGCCACTCCAAAAAATCGAATTACTACAGGCAAACTGAAGTACAATCGTCATCAGGCACAAGAATCAGTAATTGCCAATGGTGACTCGATCTGACTCTGTCCCGTATCCAAAGTCTAAAAAAACTTGAATTAGTCTGCTCGTAATACAGGGCTTGTTGCCACTGGTAGCAATGCGTTCACTGGGAATGCATGTTACACTGCACAATGCAATTTTCAATGCGTGCTTGTTACTATTCAAAATGTTTGATTCAATTCGTAGGAGAGGTGTGCCAGTCAATCGTCTGTAATTAACATAATTAAAAGCCGCTTCTAACGATTTAACACTTCAGGTTGCCTATATTAAACCTAGGGGTGTTTGGAAGTGAACTGAGGTTATTTAGGAGTGTAGCAATTTACCCTTCTGCACAACCACCCACACCCAATCCGATTCGATAAATCGTCAATTCAGATTTGTGACCTGTGTATCAGCTGCCATTAAGGGGTCCCCCCCCCCCCCCCCTCAGGTAAAAATTGTGCTCTCGAGACATTTCGTTACATTGAGCGCCAAGTTAATTATTGTTTTGCGACTGCAGGGTGTGCATCGTTATTTTCAAAATGAACACATCGTTACACCCCTAGCGTAATCGTGATTGCAGAAAACGATTGCTTCCGTTGGAAACAAGGTGGGTGGTGTTGTGGGTACTTTGTGCCCGGACGGCTGGAATTTACTGGCAGTGCCATCGGCACGTTATTTTGTTTCCTGCTACTCTTACGAGCTGTTGGCGTGCAAAGTCGGCACTTGAGTGACGCGTCGACCACTAATGCAGTGATTTTGCGGCACCGCGACACAAACGTTACCAGGTTTTCAGCGACCCGCGATCCCACTGCCTTTGTGCAACGTACGCGACCACAGCGCAGCAAAATCGCGGTCAGACGCTGGATAGCGTTTGCAGCAGAGAGTTGCGCGCCGGCTCGCACTGCTCCAGGATTTTGTTAGTCCTGTGATAGGGAAACGGGGGGGGGGGGGGGGGGTAACGTGCTTAGTATGACTGGCAGGGCTCATTGGCAAGGCTTGTGCCATTGTTTCTCTGTATTGGTCCAATCTTTCTCAGCTATATGACAGAACAATGGTGCAATATAAGCGAGTTAAAATGTACAAAAATTTTAAGTAGCTTTGTAGAAGGTTTTATGTTTTATTTTACAATGTCCAGTGTCATCCATTTATAGATACCCCACTAAATAGGAAATTAGAGAAAATAAATATATTTTAAAACTTTCAAGTCTCCCACCAATGTCAAGATGTGTATCAAACAGTTGAACTCTACTTCTGTAAGACACGGAGCCATCGCTTTCCAAATACGAAATCGGCTGTTGAGAAGAGAGCCTCGTGAGAAATGGGCGGGGTATCGAGACCTGGAATTAACCGCGTAGCAAGAATCTAATGGACAAGGTGGAAGTGCGTTAGGGCTCACTTTGACATGAACACTTTGAGGATGGGCAGCAGGGAGCGTGGAAAGTACTGCTGCTTGACGACGTGCTCCAGCGTCGCCAGGGGGCCTTGTAGATTCGAAACGGGCTTCACTTTCTCCTCGCTCTGATTGCCATGACGGGACACACGCACACAAAGCCGTTTAAGGGCAATCATCACCAACATAACTTGTTTTTTAGCAATTGCGGCAGCTGACAACGGTATGCATGTAGAAATTATTTGGCACTGTACGTAGCCAACCGTGCTAATCGGAGGTCCAGGGGAAAGACAAACTAAACACAAAAAGCTGTTGTAAAGAAATTATTTTTAGTGAGCCAATCTGATCAATGAAAAGTTTGTTTTTTGTCACGCATATTTCATGAATGGTGTACAGAATCCAAACTCAAGTCGTCCATGGCCTCTGTATGGTTGCGATGCTACGATCTACTGTTATGCTACGGTCCCTGTTTTGCTAAACAGTGATTTTCAGGAAGGATAGCAGCCACGCGGTGAGCCAGTCAACAAATGTCCAAGCTCTACACTTCTGTATATGAAGGTGTTAAAACCAATGCATTATTTATATTATGGTGTTATCAACTAATAATCATTTGCATGTGCAAGTAAATTGTAGCACTCTTGAGAAAACCCAGGTGTGCAAGGGGGAAACGCTATATTCCCAGACAGGCAGGTTGGAATCCACATGTTTGCTGTACTCTCTTCTGGTGAGCCAGGGTTAAGACACCTCGATGCCTGAGCTGTCTTATTTTCTTCATGAGATGGTTGTGAAATAACACAATAATTAAAAGTTAATCAACGAGCTACTTTACCCATGAAACATGCTTCCTGCATCACAACTTAAAGCCTCGGCTATTGTCGTGAATTAAATTATTTAACGTGCAACTGAGAGCATGTGCATTATAAGCATTACCGACTGTAAAATTTCAATGATAGGGAAACATTGCAGGCTTATGTTTGGGGAACTGCAGTTCAATAACTTTCATAATCTTTATTTGTACTTGAAATACAGCGAAGCATTAAAACAATGTTATAGGAAACCGATAATGCAATAATCGTCTAAGTGAATATGTAAATTGTATCTGAAAAAAATAAAGTGTGCAAACTGCCCGTGGTCTGATTCGGAAATTGCTCTCCTGGTTGCCCACGAGGAGTAGCCAGCACGTTTGGGAATCTCTCGACATGCTTGCAAATGGAAACATGCTGCAGCAATTATTTGCCACTGAGCGTCGCTGGTGCTGTTAAAATGCCCCTCGCTTTTCACTTGCAGGCTCGGAATCCAACTGAAAACCAATCACAGCTCCTCGAGAGCAGCACAATGGAGCCGAGTGTTGATTGTTTATAGAGGTAAAGCTGCAGCCCTGAAATCGTTCACGCAACTGCCAGTTTAAGGGACTCCACGAGAGGCAGCTCAAGAGAGCCCATGGAGAGAGTATCTTGGCCTACTCTTTCACAGTGCTGGATTACAGGTGTGCACCACCAACGGTCCGGCTAATGGTGTGTTGTAAAAACAAATCGTATCTGCAGTGTTTCCGCAGACCGCTTCCTGTTTGTGGTCTTGCGGATCACCAGGGGTCCATGTACCACAGGTTGGGAACCACTTCTAGAGGATGCTGCTCGAGTTATCTGGGTGATGCACTACTCTCTTGAGTGTTCCAAAAGAAAGGTCTTTCTCAGAGGGGCATGACAATAACAATTAGAATGTTCTCAGATGATATCTGTCAAGCCCTTAACAGTGCCTATTTTATTACAGGCCAATTCAGACCTTATTGGTCAACCCGGTTCACTTATAAAACTCAACGTTCATCCTACAGTCCCATCACAAGGGAGAAACACAAAAACTTGTTTGCCCGTATTGAAACGGCTGTACACTGTGTGGGCCTAAAAACTCAATTTCCCTGCACAAGAATCTGGGTAAACCGTATGGGTTGACAGCGATGTGAAATGTACAAAAATGCCCCGTATTCTGCCGTTTACCTTAATCAGGCCTAGGTGGATCAGCAGAGACGACATGAAGGCTTGCTGGAAGTTTGCCATTTGAAAGGCCCTTTGCAGCAGGGCATCTGCAACAGGATGCTCAATTACCCGCCGCTTTGTGTCCATAATGCATAGCAAGACAATAACATTGGCGTGCAAAATGCGACAGCACGCGCTGTAGTGAGGTTGATGACGGGAGCGTGATGCTGGAATCAGGGGGGCAGTTCCCTTACATCCGAGGGCGATGCCGCAAGTTG